TACTCTTCCTCTCTTTCTTTCTCTCCCTCTCTATCTTTCTCTCTCTTTCTATCACGCTCTATCTACCTTAGATAAGATACATTTTTATTCCATTTTCGGCCGAGAGAGTAGATAAAATGTTTCCGCAACGCATAATATTTTCTACCGGTTGCAGTTAGGCGGTCGATTTAACTGAAATGCGCGAGCGCGTGTAATAAAGAGCAACTTCTGCTTTCTCTCATGCGCACCTGGGGGAAGGAAGGGTGAATGCTTTATGGGACCTGTTGTATCAATAAAAATCCCGATAAGGTAAATTCTCTCGTGATAATAAGACAAGATCAGAAATGATTCGTCGAGAGTCGTTCTCCTCGCAACAAGACACAATACAAAAGTAAAAACTACGAGCATCCCTTCCTCGTCATTATTTAGCGTTTAGCCATCGTACCGCGTCGGATTTCCATCCCTTCGTCGTAGTCGACTTACGAACTAAATAATGGAGAATAGAGAGTTCGAGTGGCGCATGGCAGCTGCCACAAAATACGGCGCTATTTTTATCGAGATCGGAACTGATTCCGCTGCAGCGGCAGTTATGTTATCCAAATCGAACGCGGTGGTCGTGCATGTCGCGTGTATGTGTCACTGAGATACGCGTGTTGTGTGTGTGTGTGTGTGTGCACATGTGGAGAGTAGGGTTTGCCGCGTGCTTCGAATTTCGACGAGCGATCGCGCGCGCGCACGAAGAGTATTTCTCTCTGTCCCTTTCTCTGTCTCGATCCTCCGAAATAAAATCACTGCGCGTTATCGCCGTTAACGATCCGGATAGAATATCGAGGATCGCGTAACCGCGCGCCGCACGCTGGTGCCTCCGTAGCGCGGTCGCAATTTGCCGTAACTGTTTCTCGGAACGGCAATTTTTTTCCTTTTTTCCTTTAGTTCTTCTCTTTCTCGCACATTTATTAGCGCAACCGTGCAGGCACGCGCCCGCGCGTCGACATGACCGATACATGGAAAAGTACACGAAGTGTAACGTCAGCGAGCGTAATGTCGTCGCCTTACGACTTCGCCGACGAGACCGATTACAATGAGAATAAGCGGGTCGGCGGGATGCTAACTCACAAGAGAAATAAAAAAAGATAGACCAGGACGTGATCGCTCCGCCGTTTCGCACGCGCGTCGCTCGTAAACCTACGGGCGAAGAGAAACAAAACTGCCAAATGACACGACCGCTGAATTTCCAGCGCGGGCTCGCACGTATCTGACGTTGCATACCGGATACGTATACGTATTGTATACCGGAGTACTCGGAGTATCTGAAAATATCAGCGTCGCTTCCTGAGTTTCTTAACGGGCAGGCACTCTTTGGATTATATAGACAAAAATTGCAGTAAATCAAATAAACAATACATAGATAAAAAATAAATGATGATCTGAAAGATGATCACATTCCACTGTAAAAATCTATCCTAGATGAGTACTCGTTGGCCAATATACAAGTTTTGCTTATGCTACTAAACAGAAAGTCCTGTGCTTTTTTAAGCAGAAAATAAGAAATCTTAGGTGTATTTAGGAAACATAAAACTTCAAACGTTCCGAAATACTAGGGCAGTCAACAGAATTGTTGAAAACCTCAAAGGCAAGATAAAGATTAGCAAAGATCCTTTCACTCGCGGCGAAAACCTTAACACGTGACTACCACAGTGACATTAAGGAAGCACGTGGTCCCGACGCCATTTTTACATATCAGCGCGTTATTTCAGTATATTCAAAATCAGTAAAATTCGCAAAAATATCCACTCACAGTATCGCGTGCGATCATTCGCCAATCTTTTTCAATCGATAACTCAAAATCTTATTTGATTTTATTAATTGTTCGTAGAGAAATTTTTTGTTCGAACTAATCTACACGAAATAAGTGTATGTACGGTAAGTACATAAGATGTCAGACACAATATGCTTATTTTTGAACGCAGTCAGACATTCAAACTTCGCTCGTCCACTTCTTTCGCAGATCACATTCCCGACCGCAGACTAATTAATCCCGGAACGAAAGTACCCTCGATAAGGTACAGACTCATCGCGTACGTCCTCTCCTTCGTGGGTCGTTACAAATGGCTTCCCGACGCCCACTCGGGGTGCCGTCCTTAATCGTGGCAACCAGATCGATCATTCGCCGCGACCGATCCCGCGCGATAATTAATATCCGGACGTCGCGATTTACGCGACGCGTGGATAACAATCGCGGCGGCGGCGCGAGAGAGCGGACAAAGAGAAAGGAGGAGAAGGAAACGAGAGAAAGGAGAGAGGAAGGGCCCGCCGGCACAGCGAGGGTACATTGGCGCGCGCGAGTCCTGGACGCGTGCCTTTATTAAACATCGCGTTTAAGTGACTCCGGTAACGGAGAGCGAGGCGCATCATCGGCGCTAACGAGCGGCCACGACAGCGCTCTAACGAGGCGCACGCCGCCCACGCGGTTTCCAGGCTTTCAGCCATCGCCACGGCGACCGACCGACGACGTCGTGGCGACTCCCACGGTGCGTGTGTGCAGCAGCATCGACGTGGCGCCGGGCCGTACCGTCGCCTTTCCACGAAAGCCAATACCGTTGTGACAAAACTGTAAATTGAATATCGATCGCACCACGCGAGCCCGTAACTTACACGTTCGGTACGTGCCATGTCGCCGGCCATTATGAGCCTGCCGTCTCGATAATGAGTTCCGGCGACTCGGCTGACTCGGCTGGCGCAAGGACGAACGGAATCATCATCGATGGGACGGCTGGATGTCAATCGAGCGGAATAATGACATGTTGCGAGACAGAGGATATCGTTATGCGTGCGTTATAACGATGCTGTGACGCGTACAAAGTGGCTTCTCTCGCGCAAAAAGTCGTGGCGGAATTCACATGTTTTTCTTTCCCCGATGACAGTTGATTTGTTGAACATTGACAAATCGTCAATGCCTCCGAATCAGAGGACATTAATTATTTTAATGCAAATTGTTTCGATCGTTTCGCCAACGTTCCGCGTAACTCCTTTACCGTTCTCGCGATGAACAGGTATTAAAAAAAGGGGAGGAAAAGAAGGAAGAGGAAGGAAAGTATTGAGGAACTGTTCGCGTGCGTGTGTCTCATTCTTCCTGCGACTTCGACGGTCTTACGACGCTCATGATTTGCCCGAAACGTCACGTGGGGCTATCTCAATTTTGAAGACGACACGTCAGATGGAAGGAAAATCATGGATGCGACTCACGTGACCCACGCCGAAGACAAGTGCACGAAAAAAAAGAGGAAGATGAGTATCGGCGGGCGTTTCGCGTGCGATTTCGCGCGGATTCAGGTGTCACATCCCCCGGTACCGTTTTGTACGTCACGCTACATCGCGACAAAAGTAGCGCGACTCGCGCTGCAAATTGCGCTCCACACTGCGACGGACACACATATGTACGTCCAGATCCACAGATGACGATTGTCCTCGATCGATCGTCGAAGGTTACAAAACTCGTCGCTGTGTGAAAGAAAAAACTTGGTGCGCGCGCATGTAACGCAAACGCGACCCGCAATTTCATACAAAATTGCCATTCATTACGACGCTATTACAGTCCAGAGAACAGTCGTACTTTTCAATTAGCTGGCTACGTCGCGTTTTTGTCGCGCGGCAAAACACGGCAATTTGCACGAGCGTTGGTCACACGGAGCGACGATGGCGTCGCGACGAGAAAGGTGGGCGCAAATCAGCGACGCGGTCCTTTTACTTACGAGCAACACGCGACAATTTTGAGCGGACTGATGTCACGCGTTACAATTTCGCGCAATTCAGCAGCTCGCGTAGCACGCGCACAGTTTGCGGTTTCAGCGGGGAGTCTCTGCTGCTCGGAGTTGATAACAATCATAGTCGAGAATAATCGACGCCATTAACGATACTGTGCATTAATTAAAATCGCCAACCAGCGCACGAGTATCGTTTACCGCGCGCATTATCGGGGCATTTCACTATTACCCGAGTGATTTAATGTTGAATAACTTTACTAACGGGCAGGCACTCTTTGGATTATATAGACAAAAATTGCAGTAAATCAAATAAACAATACACAGATAAAAAATAAATGATGCATCTGAAAGATGATTACATTCCACTGTAAAAATTTATCCTAAATGAGTACTCGTTGGCCAATATACAAGTTCTGCTTATGCTACTAAACAGAAAGTCCTGTGCTTTTTTAAGTAGAAAATAAGAAGATACCTTAGGTGTATTTATAGGAAACATAAAACTTCAAACGTTCCGAAATACTAGGGCAGTCAACAGAATTGTTGAAAAGGCAAGATAAAGATTAGCAAAGATCCTTCCATTAGTCAAAGTTAAATGATCGCACAATATGATTTCATAATTATCACACCTAATTGAAATAACTCTACTCATATTATACGCGATCATTTTAAGAAATCTATGCTAAATGCGCTCAATTAATTTACAATAAATATGAATCAAGGAGATTAAATTATTGAGCGTTCTGAGATCTAGTTTAGGATGAGTTAATAAAAAAAGATGTATATCCTTTATTGAATAAGTAGGTCCTTATCAGAATAAGCATTAAATGGAACATTAAAGACGGAGGTAGGATCAAAATTTCGACTTGGATTGCCGCCAATGTATTACCGATCATGCATTTAACTCCCGTGTAAAGCAAATATAAAAAGACATATTTTTAGACTCTAATTCGTGAACATTATTTCCCGATGTATGGCTCCTCGAGAAAGATAAAATTTCAGCGTGTTCGTAAAGCTAGATGAACTTCGCACTTGAATCTGTGCCGGGCAGACGACGTTTTAATCCAACGGTGTGTGCGCACACTTTCGAGACGTCCGTCTATAAATACGCGTCAACATTTCTGATTTACCCGGGAGTTTCCAATAGTCTCGACTCGGTCACTTGCGAGATCGGTAATCCCCGGCGGGACAACGGCTGCGCGATTATTACGGTCCAGTTGGCAAGATCAAATCGCGAATGATCAAACACGTGTCACTCACCGTGCATATCGTTGGCGTCTGTCCATGGATTTTGTTGCTGTTGGAAGGTGGCTCCGGTCCCTTCGGCACGTCCAGATGCGTCCGGGACGGCAGAGGCGACGACGTAGGCACGTTGCTCGAATTTGGAACGTGACTCGTCGGTAGTGGCGCGCCGAGCGGCAGATCCGGTCGGAAAAACCACGTAGGCCACTGTAACAAGCGGAACAAAAATTACATAAATTTCATATCCGCGATATTCTCGTTTTTTTATCAGCGTTCAAGTAAAATATACGCGGAAATAATACTATAGTTTTTTTTTTACATACAAATTATTTTAAATTTTATTATGTTTTTAGTAATCTGTGGGAATAGACGATCAGCGAAGTCTTTCTTGCTGAGCAACATAGTAAATTGCGCTAGAAATATAGCAAGTATTTTAATAGCGCATTTCATTCGTTAAAATATAAGTGACAAGTGTGAAATGAGAGCAAATTATTACAGAATGTCGATTTATATTGCTCAGTTACAAAGTCCTATATAGTAACTTACTATAAAATTCTTCTCGTGTTCTCTCTTTGTCAAAAATTCGAAATCTCTGTCGATCTCTCCTTGACAGAAATTTCACTAGGTACAATTCCGCGGATCGCACTCTTTCGATTTCGAATCAAAGCATTAGATCTCTCAGAAATCGACTCGGGTTCGACAGTGCGACAAAGAAAGAGAGAAAGCGAGAAGTTAATAAGCGAGCTCATCTTCCTCGTCGCTGTTCGTTACTTCGCAATGCGCACATGGGAGACCCTATATAAGGACCCTCCGTCGTTTCGGCGGATAAAGGTCTCACTGTGAACGGGCCATTGGAGTGTCGCACCGCGGCTGAATACGAGCAGCTCTCTCTAAGATAGATGACATAAGCCCCTGACCGTGTAAGAAGCGCGCACTGGCTGAGCGCGAGGCCATCGCGCGTGTGGTCCATTGAAAGTGTTTCTTGCGGAGGGAACCGGCCCGCTGAGAGAGAAGAGCCCGACATGGGAGATAGAGAGGGAAGAGTAGAGAGAACGAGTGAGAAAAGGGACCTCTCTCGGTGCTCTCGCCGGCGTGTCCCGTTCATCGCGGTACGTAAGGACTTTTTGATCGTCCTCTCGTGTCAAGGGGACGATAGAGGGAGAGAGCCCCCTCGTGAGGCCGCGACACGAATTCCACGCGATTAATAGCGGGCCGCGTGCGCGATTCGATACGCTCGTGGCTCCGTAAAAACAGCCACGCTACCAGACTTATCACTCATCGTCGCCATAGCTGTCGTCATCCGTGTTAGTCGCAGCCGTCGCGATTGTTTCGCGAAGACACCCGATTTCCCGGGCTCGCGCACGATCATCGCAGCGCGATATAAATATTTGAAACGCCGCGATTCGCGATTTACGTCGCCGCGAATGTTACGAGAGTGCGAGTTACCCGCGCCGCGATAGCGCGAGTTGATACAGCATTTTCCCTCCGAGATCGCATCAAGCTTCCGTTTATAACGTGGAAAATCTTACGTCACGGTTGTTGCCGTAACATACACATGCACGTGCACACAACACATGTGCGCAGACACACGTACAGGCACACGTATACAACGTGTGTTTTGGTTATTTTCGTGCCCGAAGCATCAGCACCATCAGCCACTATTGGTCACGACGCAGTGTGGAAAGTCAGTAACCGGAGGGTGGGACGGGCGGAGGGGCAGCGGGAAAGGTGGAACGATTTCAGGGTGGTCTGGCGAATGTCTCTTGTCGTTGGCTCGCGGGAGTTAACGCCAAAACCGAAATAACAAACTCCTAAAGCTTGTGAGTTAACGCGCTACTTCTCGCCGAGGTTCCGACGTCCGTGATATTTTCTGTTTATCGTAACGGAAGTCCGCGCCGCGGGAAATAGTTCGACATCGATGCAGACTCGACACTGGCCGGCATGTCTGACTAGAAATTTATCCCATGGTCTTGACCAGGTTGATCTTAATCAGTTATCTGGTTTGAGTAAGATAAGGTTATCACACACTGACCCTGATAAGTCATAACATGGCGATCAGGATCTTATTAATAATAAGGAATATTAATAAGGAAGACCTTATGTATGTATATATTAATAATAATATCGTCTTATACAAATCAGATAACTGATTGGGATCAATCTGATTGACCATAGGATAAATTTCTAGTCGGGTGGATCTCAAACTCTCACATCGAGGCGTCGGTCCTCGCGTGCTGACGCTGCAAAGATGTCTTATCACCTGAAGTTTATCAACGCTAACACATGATGAAAGAAATATTACGATTACAAATAATTAAATAATGCACCGAGAAGTCTAAGTCTAAGCGCAGGTTAAGAATCAACGAAATTTCTCGGGTATATCTCGGCTTAAAAATTAACGAAATCTTGCTGGAAGGCGAATGAACTGCTAAATATATTTAATGGTAAAAATGAGCAGAAGTAGCGAGAAACGCTGACCTGCCATTGACGATCGGCGTCGAAGCTTTCACTCGAAGAGAAAGGTCACATTTGCCGTGAGGATTATGACCGGGAGAGTACCTGTCCCAAATGACTCCTCCGGCAGGCCACACGGACGTTAAAAGTCGAGATGTGTTTTACCTATCTCGGCGCACGCGGCGGAGATGCGAAGTATTATCACCGTTTTTTTTCCCACGCGCCAGCACAGGAATTAGCATCGGTATTCGCGCGCGAGCAAGCCGCGTGTAATATCGGGCGAACTATTTTTATACGGAGGGATGTGCTCTCGAAAAACGCGCGGCGCGGTATTCTCCAAATTCCACGCTGGCGAATCATCGTCCTGGCCGGCCGGCTTCGCGAACGCTATAATATACAGGCGCGCGCCTACCCGGCCCGAATATTCCGATTTTGGACGAGAGTATATCAGGTAAAAAAATTTCGTCGTCGCGAGAGTTACTACCGTAGCGCGGGCGCGGGTTAAAATAAACATTTAAGATATTTCCAGGAGAAATTGCGACGCGGACCACATTCTTTTTATCACCGATATTTGTATAAGTTTTAGATAAATCTTAACAAATATTCTGTTCCGGAAGAAATGGAATATTGTTAAAATTAGCTGGTGCAAATTTTAGATATCTTAATCGTACAACCCTAAACATCACAAAATCACGTAAACCTGAAACATGGGTGAATTTCAATTGTTCATAACTTCTGTAAAAATGGCCGAATTCAATATATTTTTTTAATCGACTTAGAAAACATCGAAGAATACGAATCTTAATGTTTCTGTGATTCAATGAAATTGTAAAAGATTGTAACGAAAGAACAAAACACATGTTTTACGAACGCTTGAAAGATTAGTCTAAATTTTATCCGCGTTTAGAGTTCTAGAGGTAAAATCTTAACAAATATTGTGAAAGTAGTGGAATACCAAACCTAGCTGGTATCTTGCAAATAGACGAAAGAACATTTCAGCGGCTTTGTTCCTATGTCTGTTTTATGATGTTTCAGAAATTTCAAGTCTGAGAAAGGCGTGCTCGTTTCTCCTCGCCCAGAAAGAACGTGTATCGATGGTATTACGACAAAAAGACACGTTCCGTGCGCGCGAAGAATTACAGCTGTCCTATGAAAGTCTCTATGAGACATGCATGCGATCGAGGATCGCGGCTTGATTGCGCAGAGGTTTGCGAGGACGCGCGTTTTGTGTGAGAGGACGAAAAAGTCCTGGAGTCACGAAATGTCACACGTTCGATCCGTGACAAGCAGCGTGACTCGGGTCGACTCTCTCTCTAATCGCCAGGAATTCTTCGCGACTCGAGGAAGAAACGCGCGCGCGCGTCCCGCGGCAAAAAGCCGGGATTCCTCGGCCGCAGTTTTCTATCCGCCGGCCTCAACACAATCGACTTTTGCGGAGGATATTCCGCTACACCGAGGAAAATCAATTGACGGAGCAGAGTAACGATACTAGATTGTGTCGATCCGCATTCGCGTCGTCGTCTCGCTTTAATATTAAAAACATAAAAGAAGCTGTGCAATAAAATCGGCGATATGGAATTATAAAGGCCCGTTCACATGAGCCGCAAAACGCAATCCGTAAACGCGAAAGCAGGATGACGTGTCAGTTGTAGCAGCATGAACGTCACGTAACATCTGATCTATGCGTTTTCGAATTGTTTTCATGCATTTTGTGACTTGTATAAACGGGCTTTAAGCTTGATCTACAATGTGTTCTTTGCTTCTTTCTCCCTTTCTGACTCAAAGCTTAAGTTTTAAGCCAGAAAAAGACAGAAGACAAGAAACAGAACGCAAAGAGCACATTGTAGATTAGGCTTTAATGTAAGACCGTATCAGAACGGTCGCGCGGTTCGGTTAGTAGATATCCTTCGCGAGCGAATTTGTGGCTCGAGACGACACGGAAATCTAATTTCTAATTCGATTCAGCGACGTAAACGCCGCGTCCGAAGTGACGCGAAAGTTTTTGCGGTCGCCACGCAGGATGATACCCGAGAGTGCCTTCGTAGTAAATGGCCGCTAAATCGAACGAAACAAACGAAACGTCGTCGCGCACGTAAACCTGCACGTGTGCATCTTCTGCCGTCACCGGAATCACGAACCGCTTAGTAAACCACGAAAAAGCCAGGATGACTTTAATATATATTTCTTGAGAGTCTCTCTCTCTTTCTCTTTCTTTCTTTCTTTATCTCTATTATACGTTATCACGCGAGTTAGTATTATAATAATATATATAATCTCTGATATATATTCCTAAATTTTTTTCCAAAATTGCAACGCTAATGACAGATCGAGTATTTTTGTTTCAATTAATTTTAAATTTACTTTTACATCTTATAATTTAATCAGTTATTTCTGAAAATAAAAAATTATCGTCTCCTCTCTCTCTCTCTCTCTCTCTTTCTAACATTATTCATTGTATCTCGCGTGTCTGCGATATAAAAATTAAGAGATTTGCTTTATATTTACAAAAATCAAAAGTCGATGATACATGAGAGGATAATCTATGCACCTATGAAATACATGAAAATTACTGTAGCAAATAATATTACCATCAAAATTGAAAACTTGCATCCTCTCACGTGGATCGGTCATTTTGTAAAGTTTATTTCACTTGTGTTTATTTTACTTTGTATGTATGTGTATAAACTCAAGTATTCAAAACGGAATTACAAGCTTGGCGCGTAGCAATTTGTCAAGATTTCACGCAAGCCGCC